TGTGTGTGTGTGTGTGTGTGTGTGTGTGTGGATGGATTAACTGGAGCCAATGAACAGAGTTGGACATTTTTAGCCGATACTTCAGCAGATCTGCATTATGAGAGTCACACTAGCTGTTTGAATGGTTCCTGCTTTCAACGTACATCTCCCGGTCCTTTGTGCCTGGGGCCTCCGAAGCCCCTTGAAACACTGGAGAATGGCTGGAAAGAGGAAGCACGAGTGGTGTGCCTCCGTGGTGCTCAATGTATGCAGGCCTTCATAACGCGCTGTGACACAATGCATTTCACACTGTACGCTGTTATTGTTCAAATGCAGTCTGAGAGCGAGGGACAGCAGCAGAAACGCATGTTCCCCGAGGCTCAGACATCACACATCAGCTCGCACAGCAGCAACACAAAAACACTACAAAGAGACAATTCAGCCTGTTGAGGCTGCAGAAAATCTAGTTTGTACCCTCATTTTCTCTCCGTGTTTGCAGCTCAGTGCTACTACTACATCGGGACTGACTGACACACCAGTGAAATGTGTTAATGTGTAACCTGTCAATATAAACCAAATCTAAAAATACACAAGAAAATAAAAACTCCACTAGGACATAGTGAATACATCAGATTAATCAAAAAAATGAAAAGAATTTGTGAATATCTAAATCTGCAATTTTCTAACAGGCAGGCTGTGGATACATGTTTTTATTACTGAATTGAAAATTTAATTGTGAATCTCAATTTCACAATTCTGTTAAATCCACCTGCACCCATCTGAACACCCATTTGTGTGTTGTCATAAATTGAGGTGGCGTTCAGTGAAATAAAAAAAAGTCTGAATCAGGGTTATTACAGTTAATGAAAACTAAGACTAAAACTAAAACTAGCAATGAAAATATGATTTAGTTAACTGAAATAAAAATAAAAACTACAATTACAAAAAAACCAAAAACTAACTAAAACCAAACTGAATTGCAGATAAATTCAGCTTCGTTTTCGTTGTTGTTTCAACAATGCAGTGCTTCACTGTTATTTTAAGGCTTATTATCACTATAATGCACGCCTACATATCGCAAAATGTGTGTACAGACACTTTTCAAACAAACAGATAATCTGCTTGCGCATGAGGTGAAAGCATTTCTTCTGCAGAGAGGAGTTCATTCTTATCCCTGGAAAATCTGCTCTCGTGATGTCAATCCACAAGGTGCAAGCTCACCGGGCTTTTAAAGCAAATGCAGGGAGCTGCCACTCTGATTGCTTTAATGCATGTTACACCCAAAACACACCCGTAAGAGACTAAGTACAAAACCTTTTGAACCATTCACATGCACAATTTGTACCAAAGTGAACTTACTTTAATCTTCTAAACAGAGCCCCGCAAACTTTTTCACCAGTCTCAAAATAACTCTGGCTTTTTATTGGGGGAAAAAAAACATGATTGTCAGTTGACAGTGTCATCTCGGCTCACAGAAAGACCAGTGCTCTTACTTCGAAATGAGTGATATATTGGAGCGAGCACGGTGATGAGTGTTCCCGCTGCTTAATTAGGACTGACGTTGCAAAACATAATCCATCTCGGCGGCCTGTGCTGAGGCTGGAACAAGTCCTTTTTGAAAAGATGGCGCAGACTATGGAAAGCTGTGGCACTCCGCCCCCTGACAGCCCAGACTGTGAATCATGGCACACAGACATCCTTTCTCTCTACTTGTGTTGCCAAACCTTGCAACCCCCACACTGCTCAATCTCTGATGACTCACTCGGAGGTCTTGTATATGTTTATTTCACGAAACTACAAAATGGGAAATTTCACATTAGTATTGACAATTTTCCAAAGCTTGATTTACAACGGCCTGCAGTTTTTAAGTAGTGTTTTTGATGGTGGTGTGTTGGTCGAGAAAAACCAATAATTCAATCGGTCAGTGAGAGCAGCTAAATGAACCAGAACATGACTGAGACTCATCAAGAAGTTGGAACTTCAGAAGCACAAACTATAAATTGCAAACCGAAAACAAACACAAAGTAGCAGGAATACAAGCTGTGCACTTTGCATTTCACTTTGTAGCTCTTTGACATGTTTCTTCTGGGTTGCAGTTTATGTTGGCTATTTTGTGATTCCACATTTCTGTGTGTTGATGTTAACAGGCAAAGTTACCGGTCTATGAATTAATTTTACTTCATGAGGAAGAAAATGAGGACTTCAGTCATCATATCAGACATTGTGGGCTGTCCTTAAAGTTTCCTTTCGAAAAAACAATAAATGTATCCTCTCATCTCATAGGTCGGTTTGGAAACGTAGAGATTACGAGACACAACATTACTCGTGTGATGTGAAGTCATGCATGGAGATAAATCCTCCTATTCTTGCCTTAGTTGAGAATGACATTGGAGACATGACTGTTTCAAGATTCCAGTACTCAGCCAGTTACTGCTCATGTCAGTACTTGAAGCAATAATCCATTGGACTGTACTGGTAGTAGATGATAGGGTAACACTTAATATTAGGGAACACACAAAGTGAACATATCCAAGCACTTGATTGTAATTCATGCTTACTTACCATCAATAAGCAGTCATTAGGAGGATATTAAGGGAAAACTGTTAATCTATGGAGTTGTTGCAGAATCAGGTCATTAAGAATGAGGCATTAATAATTGTTTTATATTGACTAATAAAGAGCCAATATGCCTCTAATATCCATGCTAATAAGCAAATAGTTAATGGTTGATATGTGTTCCCTAATATAAAGTGTTACCGATGATAGATGTAGATTTAAATGTCTGCATAATTGATTGATGATTGATTTGATTGTTTTACATAATTTGGCCTCATGGAAGCATCTACATGATCATTTAATGATTGAGCCTTGGGCAACTTCACATGTTAATGTTCGTCTGCTCTGATAATACACAACTCATTCAGCAGTTTTACGTACAACTCAAAGGACATTGCACAGGATGTGAATAATCTGCATGCAGATGTGCTCACCTTCCTCTCCCACCATGTCATTTCCACAGGACTATACCATCACCATGTACTTCCAGCAGTCCTGGAGAGACAAGCGTCTGTCGTACACAGGCATTCCTCTCAACCTCACCCTGGACAACCGAGTGGCAGACCAGCTGTGGGTCCCCGACACCTACTTCATTAATGACAAGAAGTCTTTTGTCCACGGGGTGACAGTGAAGAACCGAATGATCAGACTGCACCCTGACGGAACTGTGCTCTACGGTCTCAGGTGAGAGCTGCTCCCGGTCTTCGGTTTGTAGCCCTGTCATGTATTTGCACCATTAAGCGGTCGGTGAGGGAAGTGAGCCGTTGTTCAGTTTAATTCCGAAGACAAAACTTGCAGCCCAATTTTCCACTCACAGACACAATTTGGAACGCACAGAGAAAAAAAGCATTCCGTCTGCGCGCTGTTGCCAATCACTGTGAACTCCTCAAAGACACAAATAATGAGGCTCGCCAACATGTTGCCTCCTAGACTAGATTTCTAGCAGGCTAAAAATATCCACAGTCAACGAATACAGTCAATAAGAGCAAGACAACAGTGTAAGCAATGACACTGATGTCCACATCTCATTGAAGGCTAGCAGCATTAACACATCTCTACTTCCACGTCAACAAACTAATATCACTGCCTGTACCTGCATCAAGATAAAAGGCTCCCTCTGCTGTGCCAATATTTGTATGTGGAAGAGCAGCAGCAGAAATGCCATTAGCACTAACCCAAGGCAGCTCAAACAGAGCTAACTGTAGGGAAGTGATCTATGAATGGCGAGATGAGGCTCATATTTGAAAATATCAACGGGAACATGGGACTGAAACTTCAAAGCGACAAAAGATTTGAGAGCTGAAAACAGAGAAAGACCGAATGTGCTCATGGATCTGTGCAGCTGGATGCTGGATGCGTTCCCTCTCAGAATCACTGAAGTAGGGGTGTGCAGCCTCTCCACCAATCACCTCGTAAAGTTGGAGCAATCTTTTGTAATGTACAATCAATTTTAAAGATTTATCAGGCGTATCAGGCATTTTAAAGCTGATTAGCTTTTTACGAAGAGGAGCAACGATAGAGTTTGATTCCCCACGAGACGTGTGGGTTTATGTGACTTTTAGCCACATTTTCTCAACACCAACAAATCCTATTGATAATTATGATTTTTGGCCATGTTCATTACTTTGGTTCAGCAGCGACAGATTAGCATAGAACAGATTCCTCATATGACTCCTATCAGAGGGTGAGTGTTGCTCTGTGTGCATCTGCTCCTGAACTTTGAGGGATGCCCAGCTGGTGAAACATTTACACAGCCCCTCCTGGTGTACACACCGTGTACACACGGTCCGGCTCTCCACAGCCGAGCACAGTTTTATCATGTTAACTGAAGAAACAATGAGCTGATCGCTGTCAATAAGCCAGTCCTCAGAGTTCAAAGTCAGAGGGATGAGGATGAAGCAGAGGGACGATGACTTCACCGTTTCTGTAGCTTTGAGGTAAAACTGCACATTTTATTCACAGATTCTGACATTTGATTCTTGATTGCACAGTTTGTATCACAGTGTTTCAGTGTTTATAGCGTCATTGACCATTTCAGTTGTTTGATATGATTTCATGTGGACTTCACTTTGTTCTCAAAAAGTAATTTGCTGTCGACTTAAAGGTCCAGTGTGTAAGATTTAGGTGAAAGGGATCTATTGGCAGAAATTGAATGTAGAATAATTCTGATGATGTTTTCACTAGTTTGTTTCATCTAAATTGTATGAATTGTAGTTTTCTTTACCCCAGAAAAGGTCCTTAATATTTAAATACTTTATATTTACATCGAGGGGACCCTCTCTATGGAGGCTGCCATGTTTTTTACATTAGTCCAGACTGGACAAACTAAACACCTTTTGAGTTTTTATGACAATTGAAGCTACCACAGGTCCTTTTTCATGTTTGGAAGGAGAGGGTGAGGTGAGGGGTGTTCAGCTGCAACATGCAATTTCAACACTAGATATCACAAAATTCTACACACTGTACCTTTAACCTTTGTTTGATACATTTTAAATTGTATCATCAATTCAAAACTTTTTAAAAATGTTTTTAAAACTGGAAGCTGTGATTTCAAATTCAAAAAGTGAGTTTTAATTTAACATTAGTTTTAGCTGTTAAGTAAGAGAAAATAAAACATATATGACATTTACTCACACACCCAGGTTTATCTTTCAGTTTAGGGTTTTGATATGTTATTAAATGAAACTGCCCAGTTTATCTTCAGTATTTTCTTTCCACATTTACATAAAACTGTCATCTTAGAAAGTCCATTGTGGAAAATCAAGCTTAGCAACATTGAAAATACATTGAAATGTTATACACTTAAAGAGGATTTATTTCTTCTATGACAAAGTAATTGCTACATAGCTTTAACAGTAACCTACCAACATCAATCTACTTGAATTGTAAAAGGTGTGGAAGAAAGGGAAAATCTTTAGAGAAAAATAAAGGTCAGCCATTACCCTTCATGTTACAGTCACACAGCGTTCATTTCATATTTAGATTGGTGGCCTAACATCACTCAGTAGGGCGGGAAGCAGAGGTCTGACTGCTGTGTAGACGGCAGTAGACCAGGACAGGCTCACAGTGCTTCACTCACGCCCAAATCAGTGGCTAGTGGCTAGATTTGTCCAAAAGCAACACTAGATGGCCCTGCCTTCATGGCTGAGTGAACATAGGCCTTGTGGGCTGCCCGCATCATTTCTCTACTTTCCTTTTCATTCTTTCCATCTTGCTTATTTAATCCCCTTCCCCCTCCTCTTTTCCTTCCTCGTCCTTTTAATACTGCCCTTGAACTTCCATTCCTCGGAGGAGAGAAAACATTACAGTGATGAAAATGCATAAAACGGACAGAACACCGTCAGTCCTTTTTATGGACTGCAGCAGTCGACTATATGCTGTCATTCAATATAACCGTTGGTAGAGGACACTTTTATGATGCATCCATGTTGGCTCAGCTCAAGCCTCTGTTCACCTCCCCATAGATCCAGTCTGCTCTGATGGAGAGGATCTTTTAACGCCAGGTGAAAATATTCAATGAGAGAAAATAAAACTGCTTTGATTAAATTGAACGCGGATTTTTCACATCTAACTGGACTACAACAGTGAGTATCTGTGACTCACTGACAGACTGCACAATGTTGGACTTTTCCCCATGGAGCTTGCTCTTACGATTTGGTGCAACCTGTTACCATTATGTCAACAGGAAGTGCGACTTGTTCCTGTTGTCTGCTCTGAAACTCTCAGCTCTGGTGTGAACCACATGCCCATCATGGGAATGTGCAGATAGAGCAGAAACTACCAGATATGAGCCGAGTTAACACCAGCTGGCAGCCGCCCGGCAGGAGGGACACTGTGGTAGAGTTTCATAACTGAGCTGTGACCAATGCAAACTTTATGTCCATGCTCGTGCCGTGTCCATTCTAAACCTGTCTGTTTGCTTGGTAGTGTTAATGCTCTGGTGCCATTTCCTTGTCATTAGTGAGTCCTCCTCAAACAGTTCTACAACACACGGTCACTTTTTATTGTTTATGTGCTGGACGTTGTGTGCAGAGCTTTTTGTAAAGAGTCTAGGGTGCAGAGTGAAGTTAGAAAACTTTGCGTTCATCCTACCTGGTTTATGTGAATGAAGGTTTTATAGTCAATGTTTTTCATTAAATGAAATCTCGGCTATTTCAGGGGTCTATTAAGCCATCGACGCAATCTTCGACCCAAATTCACGACTTTTCAAAATAAAAGCTCTGTAATTCATCTTGATATAAAGCATTGCAGCAACAAAACATTTTTTTTTACTTTGGAGACAACTTGCTACACAAGAAGTAAATGTTGTGTCCATCACCCATGAATGTATTTTCAGTCTAATATTGTGAAGTAAGAACAATCAGATGATCAAAATGATCTGCCAGGACAGATATTATTGGCCCCAAACTCCCAGTTGCTAACTGCTGTAGTTTATCCCTGCTGTCATTTACCCGAGGATGTAGACGAAGACATGTTTGAGTCAGTCCACAGACGGCTGCAGAGTGCTGGTAGGCTGTTCATTCACATTGTATTTCTATTGAACGTATCGTGTCTCCAAAATTGTAACAAATTCTACACTGTTCTCCCTCGTGCAAAACATTCCCAGTGTAAAGATATTGATGTAGCAAGATATGCATGCCTCGTTCAGAAAGACAGACAGAATTAGTGGGTGGATGAAGAAAAAGGACTGACCAGTTGAATCTTTAGGTTCCCATGCTCATACATAGTCCAGTCATATGGGTTCAATTCCTCATGAAGTTAAAGCACACTGAACACATCAACCTGTAAAACTGACAGACATTGGATATGGATTGAGTCATTCTGCACAACAATTACTAATTATCTATATGATGGTATATTCAATATTTATTTTATTATCTGTTAATGGCGTGTAATTACTGCTTAATCACTACTTTCTCTCCTTCCTCTATCCTGAAATGATGGTTTTTCAGATATTTTCTCAATCTTCCACCTTGGCTTCATATTTTCAGAGCTTCTGAAGAGGGGAACATGTATTTCACACTGGCATGCTGCAGAATCATTATCCCCTGCCGGCTCCCACAATTATTCATCCAGTGTGCTCACTGCTGACACAATAGCTATATTTAGGTTTGCCAAAATGACCTCACCCCTGACACGTGCATACATGTCTGTGGGTAATGGCTGGACACCTTGGTTTGGCAAAGAAGGCATGCAACACATGCACATATGTCATCAGTGTCCCACACGATTCACAAGCATCAGACATGGTGAGCTGTGACTGATGGAGGACGGCTGTTTGTCGAAACAGACAGACCAGTCAGGTTTAGACTGTGCTGCTAGGCCTGTGCTGTAGCAAAGCTATGAAGTTCCCTTTTCATAAGAGTAATCGTGGTATGTCATATATAATTTGACATGACAACTAGTATCCATCCACATATGGTTTAAGGACATTTCATTTGTTTTGCAATGGTCTGACGAGAGATGCATATGATACATGAGGGATAGATGTCATTGGGGCTGTGGTTCAGGAGGTAGAGTGGGTGGTCCACTAATCAGAAGGTGGATGATTCCCATTCCCAGTCTCCTGCACGTCCTGCAAGATACTGTGTGATGTGGATAAATCATTTACCAAAATCCAGTTTATTCACATTACAGGGCAAAACTATTTGTAAATATAAATAAATTGTCACCATCTCCATCAATTACTGAGGCACCTGCAGCATAGTAACCTCAAACTGAGAATCAGAATCCAGAATTGCCTATAAAATGATTAATGTCCATGACTATTAACATTTATCCATGACAAGTAATGAAATGACCAATGTAATGCACCTGATTCTAACGCACCTACCTTTGTATATGTGCAGCACTAAGGCAGAGCTTTATCTAAAGTCCTTGGAATAGGGTCAAATTTGCTTCTGAAAAATGGGACATGTCTTCAGCGCTACTTGTACCCCAGGTTGAGTGTAAGCTGTGACTGGGAGTCCATTAAGGGAGGGATAGTATTATTTGGTGTAAATAACTGACAGGGGCAACAACATTGGGAAAATGTAATTTTAGTCTCACTGTGCTGTCAACCACCATGTCCTGATCAGAGGCAGCTTGACCTGCCGCTCTTCTTCACCGGGCTTCAGACAAAAAAATATACAAGGCCTCTATCATCAAAATTCATTAGGCCTTTTAAAATATTGAATACTCACATTTTCCTTCACCCAAGAAAGAAATGACAAGTTGAATGAAATGTGCAAAATGGAGTGGTCAGTATGAACACAAAACATACACCACACTACTAGTGTTCAATTTCATGTGCATCATTTTCCATTTTAATTCCATCTATACACTTTTTATTGTGTGTGGTACATGGTGTATTCGCAGCCTTGTGCTACTGATGCTAACAGCTCAATAAAAGTAAAAACCTACACGTTACTTTATTCATAAACCAGTTCAGCAGCAACACAAGCTTATAAATTATAACCCAAAATGAATTCTCCAAACGGAATTATGTTTTATGAATAAAATAAGTTTATGTTTTTTCCTCAGATAATTATTGAGACTGGGAAAACAATATGTATTTTTTAACATTACCATGTGCAATATTACTATTCAACATGTACTTTATTACACCATGTCCAATATTACTATCTAACATGTACTTTATTACACCATGTCCAATATTACTATTCAACATGTACTTTATTACACCATGTGCAATATTACATTTTCATTATTATGTGCTACATGTGCAAATTACTTTCATTGTTTTTTGTGCAATACATTTTCTTCAATTGTTATCATGTACATTATAATTAATATTGTGTGCAATAATATTTTTATTCATCATGTGCTATAGTACTTCTAATTTTTTTCTACTTTTTCTCTCCCTATTTTATTCTACTTTTTAGTTTATCCTGTTATATCTTTAGGCAGAGGTCCTCTCTTACTCCTCATTATGTTTTTTACACAGTTTTATTCCTCACTTATTGTTTTATACTATTTATATTTTACTCTTGTTGAGGGTGAAGGCCAGAGGATGTGGCACCTTGTTAGGCCCTTTGAGACAAACTGTGATTTGTTCTTGAAAAGCAAGATCTGATACAATAACTTCCTTCAGGATTCATTAAGTACTATCTTATCTTATCCTGCAGGACTAACTGGCACTATATCTTGGAACATATTGAAGTGCATTTTCAAAATTGTGTCGATGCCACTTATATTCCGCATAGCATGTTTTGTAAAGGAAAAAGCTACACTGCACCAGCAAACTGTGACTGAAAGTGATGAGGACTCAGTGATTCAGACGATGAAAGGGGTGAAATGCAAAGTTCCAGCAGTCCCTTCTGATCACTTATAGAGCTGACACTCTATTTTTACTGTCTGTCCACGCTGTGTGCACCTGCTTCATAATTCATCCAGTGCTTGCTAATGCGCTCAGTGTGTCCAGGACATGGATCGACAGTCCCAGAATACTCAACAAGGTAAGAAAAGGATGAATATTCATGTGCTGAAGGGCTTTTTATGTCCTGACACTGCAGCAGCTGAGGAGGAGGAGACGTGTGTGTAGCATGACACTCACGCAGCAGAGTTAAGAGCGACGATCGAGGAAAGTGACCAGTGCATTAGCGGATTTTTCTGGGGCTTCTAAGTCACACTTGTCATCCCTTTTCTCTTACCCTTAAAGGCACAGTACCTGCACTTGTTTTACAGTATCTGTTACATACATATTATTGAAGATGCAGGTAATACACATTCATGTTAGTACATTTTTATATCATTTGCATTCATGCCAAATAAATCTGGTACAGCACAAAGTGAGACTCTTTCTGGACATCACTCTTACTGCCGAGGGCGGTCTGATCTGCAGGAGCTGATTTGTTAAGTTTGGTGCCTTTATTAGATACAGGCAGTAATGAGAGACAGGGAGCGCAGGTTGAGAGGAACGGCAGTAAATGGTTCATTAGGCCTGGGATTCAAACCGACGCATTCTTCCCCTGTGACATGTGCCCTGACTATTTGGGTAGTATGTCACCTCAGGATCTGTGATGGTTTCAAACATTGGGAGCTCTAAAATGATGTGTTGTAGCCGGATGTGCTGGACAATAAGTACTGTATGTAGTAAATGTTCTCATTACTATAGGTACATGATATGCTCACCAGATGTGCTGGTTTGTCCTGAATTGTCCTGTTTTCACACTTGGTGCTCCACATCCCAACAAATATCTATTAAACACCCAATTGTCCTGGTTTTCATCAACGTTAGAATAATAAATATTATATTACGGTTCATTTAATATAAATGAATACCTTTTGAGCATTTGGACCGATTATCAATCTGGGAAATTGGGGATGTAGATTAAAATGTGTGCACCCCCAATACGCCAATTAGCATATTCATGATGTCATCAAATTGTATTTGCATTCAGCCTGATGTCAGACTTGTATCTGGTTGCTTCCTTCCTGCTCTCTCTACTCACATATGTATTTGTATTGCCTGCAGATGCAGTCATTGTAAGCATGCAAGTCCTCTTTATCGGGGTGATAGATATTTATAGAATAGTGAGATGACAGTTCTCAAGAGGTGCTAGATTTCCATTTTCATTCAATTATGTCACTTTAATTCCTTAATTCTAAATGACTGTGCTGAAGCAGCTGAGGCCCCTCTCGGGTTCATCCCCCTGATGTTAGGTGTGAATCAGCTTTCAAATCAGCTTTCAAATGTCTGTAGAGGTACATTTGACAAAATATCATGTTTCACAACACAGCCCTCCTGACTTCACATGTAATTAGATGCTAGTACATCAGTGTGTTATGGCCTCAGTGGGAAAAGTGTCATAATAAGTTGAACAAAAAGAAACTGGCAGAACTTTTAGAAAAGTTCTAAACTTTAGTAAAGACTATTGCAGGGAAAATTGCATTATACTATATTATAAGTTGGGTTTTTTTCAGCTGATTCAGAATGAAGCTGTTGTCATTTATAAGATTTTTCCATTAACTATCTTATCCATTTGAGGGTCATGGGGGCTGGAACCAATAAGAGCTGACACTGGGCGAGAGGCAAACACAGCACAGTGCTGAGTACAGTACCTCTCACATGTAATTGGACAGAGTTTCTGTGCAGCCAAAAGGAACACATAACCTGCTAAGGCACTATTTAATGTTGGACCTTGCATTTCAAAGTGGCACCATGATAGCACAGTTGTCATCGTCCTGTCGGGCACCCCCGTTGTTTTAATAGCGAAAATACTTCTCCAGTTGAGCACCCATGGACATGATGGTCTTATAATGAGGTGCAGCTCGTCACATTGTCACTTTCTTAAGGCAGCGGATAGCCAATGTGTGACTGACCAATGTGAACCTAAACATAAGTGGGTGCTCAACATGCATACGCTCTGCAAGAGATATATTTCCAGAGCAATTATCAAGAGATCAGATAAAAAGTCCTTGAGTTGAGTTGTACTCTCACACAATGTTCTTGCTATATACACACCTCTGTCTAATGTATATAAGACCTGCAGGGATCATTCGTCTTGTATATCCTCCGTGTTGCCTAATGTGCACTTTTAATGATTGTAACTGCATGTCAACAAGAAAATTGCTTGTTCATAACCCCTGTGATTTATTTTCCCATTACAGCATATTAAATGTAATGTGCCTAAATGGTTATAGCGGTTAGCTGAGATGAGGTTTAATTGTGTTTGCTGTTTTAAACAAACGGTTATGGCGACCGCCCCTTTCACTGGACAGCAGCTATGAGCACTCACATGGGGGTCTGCCTCTGCTCCTGCAGGGACCTGGGATGGATGTGACCCACACTAAATGACTGCAGCCTCACTCCCACCAGGAACTGTTAGTGAAATAAAAAAAAAACAAAATGACTCATTAATTCTCTCTTTCCAAATGATCCAACTGAAGTGTTTCCTCCTTCAGATGTAAGACTTCAAAGGGGGGAAGTCACGGGTTCCACCCGATTGCCTGGATTTCGGTGTTAATTCGTAATTACTCAGTTGTAATTAAGATTGAACAGGAGGCTTTTCAAAGGGAGGGGAGCTGCAGTAGTGATGTCAGCAGTGCAAAGGCAATTATGGGAAAGAAATAGATAGTTCAGCTCCACTCGAGGTGTAAAAGGATTTGCCAGATTGGAGGCTGAAGAGATAGGAAGTGTGCAGTGGGATGCCACATGTGTTTGAGGGGTACACTGACTGTATTGTTCATTCTTTTATAAAGTCAAGTTTTTCCTGCAGGCACCAGGAAAGGAAATGTTTACCTCTTTTGAAACTTGAGTGCTGACTGAATTACCAGAGTGTGCATATAAATGAAGACATCTACATGTGGGAATAAGGAAACAGGCCCAGAGTGTTCCTGGTTGACATTTCTTACAAGTTGCAACCTTTCTTTTTTAGAATCACCACGACAGCTGCCTGCATGATGGACCTGCGCAGATACCCACTGGATGAGCAGAACTGCACTTTGGAGATAGAGAGCTGTAAGTGTGCACAGAGTTTGTGTGTTTGTGCATGAACAGTCAAATTCATAAAAAAAAACTTTCTTTTACCCAGATGGCACAGACCAAGGAATCAAAATAATGAACTGTTGCCTTTTACATCCGGTACTTTTTGTGTTCTGACTGACAGCATGGGAATAAACATAAAGTCACATCAGAATCAGCTTTATTTGCAATGTATGTGTACATATACTAGGAAATATCCCTGACTCTTTGAGATCGATGGATTAAATAGTAGTTTAGCTTTTTAATTCCTGCGAAAAATAATAATCACAAAATATTATGTATGTTCTGAGACTAATTGAAACTGGACAAAGACCCACGTTTTCTCCATCTGGTTGTTTGGTCCTCAGTGGAGTGACACATGTGAAGTTAGAATGTCACCTTCTAAGCATTAACATGACCCAAGGTTTGACGTCTCTACAAAATCTACTAACGTCATGGCGTGATTTTTTATTTTTTATTGTTTAACAACTTCATTACTTACAAATCCAGGGAACCATTGAAATGTGTTCAGTTCAAACTCAAATTAAAACTTTCAACCAACTAAGAGGAAAAAAATTAAGATATTGTTTGCGGTCATTTTGCCAATATGTATAAAGTCAAGAAATAACACGTCAAAGATTCTTCCTTTCGTCAATGACATTCATTGTCACCACATGTGATGATACTCAAATCTTTTCAGTCACCATAACCAAAGCTAGCGAGCGTAGGTGAGGGTTGAGATAATTGCTGACACCAGTCTGTCAGTCAATACCAAAATAAGATTTTTAATAAACATTTAAATTAACACTCCACTGGAATATGTTTTGAGTATCAATACTCACTTTCTATTCTAGAAAGGTGGTTCCATCAGAATGTAAAAATTATCAAAGCACTCTTGCGGCGATAATAATTTCAATCCTCACTCTTCCAATAAGCCCCTAAATGCACCACTTCAGAGCTTCAGTGCTATAGTGCGGCATGAATAGTGCATCAGTGTAGGTAGGGGAGAAACTGTCTGGGACATACTGAACATACAAATCAGTGGGAAAGAAATGGAATATGCTCCAGGGCTGCTTTGAGAAGTTTCTGTCGTCGATTTCTCGTTTCTGACTTGCCCACAAAGGAACAACATATTTCAGACTGTTAAGTTTAAAAGATACATGACAAGGGGAAGTATTCATTTAATAATAATTTGAGCCATGCTATATCTGGGGTCTAGCAGAACATTACATTGAAGTGTCAAACCACAGTGACATAATATGCTTCACCAATGTGTCCTTTGTGTCTTGATATGATTACTAACACGTCGTGCTCAAACTAATCAGCCACATTGGGGTTGTTAAATTCCGCATCGCTGTAAATACCTTTAAATTATCCTCTTCCAGATAAATTCAGCTTCGTTTTCGTTTCGTTTTCTCCCTCGATTACTGCCTGTCCTGCAGGTGATGGTTAAAGAATGAAATTAAAGGACTTGATAAACCATATTTGGTGTCACACAATGTTTCATCCTTTTTCAGCTTCTACAAGTCAAGGCTTTCTCTTAATACCTGAAATAACTAAAACTAAACAAAAACTAAA